TCATTTCGCCAATACATCTATATCCTCTGTCCGCTGAAATACTCGTTTCGGAAAGACATTTAAATGCCTATTTTCTCATTCCAGTGCCTAATGCGGCGAACATTACGACTGTTTTTGCGCAAACGTTTGGGACATTGGATGTGTGTTGGATGAATCCGAGCAGCAGGAATGGTGAACTGTTATTATCAACGGCATTTGCACAGCTGAACGGGACGACAAAAGCAGAGTGCAAGGGGATGACTGTAATTTCCTCTGAGATGAAGTGCACTCTTATTGATCTTAGAAATTTTACGGAATATGATGTTTTGGTGAAGGTTTGCGCCATGCCAGAGGGAAAATCTGACATTGATATTTGCAATACCACTTCTATTCATGCGCAACGTACACTTTCAGGAGGTAGGTTGCAGTTTTTGATTTAGTTCGCGAATGCGCCCATTTCCCCTCTGCTTATATATGCTTTAGTTTAAACAATTATCGGTTTTTTCCCACCGCCTCCCCCACAGTACCTGATATTGCGAACATTACGGCTGTTATTGCGCCAATGCCTGCGACATTGGATGTGCATTGGATGAATCCGACCTACTGGAATGGCGAACCTTTATTCTCGGGGGCCTTTGCAATACGGAACGGGACGATAAGTTCTGAGTGCAATGGAACGACTGCAACCTCGTCTACAGCGAACTGTACTCTCAGTGGCCTAAACAACTATACGGAGTATAATATTTATGTGAAAGTCTGCACCCGGCCAGAGGAAAACTCTAACAATTTTGAACGCAATTACTGCAGAAACAGTTCTCTTGTTCCGAGGCGTACCCTTCCATGCGGTATGTTACGATTCGAAAATGGAAACTACGCATTTCGTAATTTGGTGTTTAAGTGAGATTGCCTATAATAATTCCTATGCAACTGCAGTTCGCTTTCGTAGGCTAAGGAGGAAATTAAATATCTCACTCTTATCAATTATGTAGCGCCCCCTGCGGCTACCAATTTGTCAGTGGCTGCACCTGCATATGGAGAATTGGAGGTGCGTTGGACTAATCCGAGCGACGAAAATGGCAAACTAGTACCACCGACGGCAGTTGTGCGGTTGGTGGGTGGG